GAGAGCAGAGTAATGAAACCAGTTCAGAGATGGGGATTATTAGAGGCCATAATTGGTAAAGGCCAATAAGAAATCTAGCCAGTATGCCAAGGTAACTCCCCTACATTTTTCAAGAAGCACCCTAGGATTTTTAAAGACCACAGGACCAGTTTAACATATCCAAAGGACAATGCCTTTTTATAGCATAGTGTCCCCATTACTATAATGGGGCCTTAGGACCCACACAGACCATAGGGTGGCACCCTCTACTGGTGCACACTTACACCTCTTCCAGCAGCAACCTTAGTTTTTCCCAGGAGGTCTCCCATCCAGGTACTGACCTGGCTCACACCTGCTTAACTTCAAGGGTTTGCTAGTTGTGAATTGCTGGGAGATATGGCTCCTGGCAAATATATGTGCATATACCTACACTTCTTAATGTACATTAAGAAAATCTGCCTTCCTTCTTGACCTGTTTCTTGTTGCAGTTGCCTGGGGCAACATTGTGGTTCAGGATTTTAAGGACAACGGAATATTCTATTGAGACAACTTTCGTTTTGTAGGCTTTTTTCTAATTAATTTGAAGAATTTATGTTAACTTATGAAAAGCCCCAAACTCTAGTGGCGCATTGGCTGCGATGCTCTGTTCAAGCAGGAGTCTTTTTCAGTTTACCATGTGGCAATCCAGCTAACCGGGAGATACAGTAATGGGAATAACATTTCAAGTCTTATACTAAGATCTCTGCATCCTTGCAATTTTCAAACCTTTTGAAATTTGAACTCTGTGTTTTTCTGATGACAGAAGTCTATTGTAATTTAAGAACTAAGACTCAACTAAAAAGAAACCATTGTTTTGAACGTAACTTAATAATATATGTGAATATGATCAAATGAAAGATTTAGCATTTACTGTTTAACAAACTTTACATTGCACATTAAATGCTCAAAGACAGTCTTTTGATCTTCCTGAAGAAGGAGTTCTCTATCCTTTGGAACGGAGTCCTTACACACAAGCAATCTTACTATTGCTTCTCTGGACAGAAGGGGGCTCTGTTTCATTACACAAGGTGCTTTTTAACCATTTAACCATTTAACCACTACACAGGCTGAGAAACAAAAAGAGGTGAACTTAACACATCAAATACAATGTACTTGAACCATAAGGAGAATATGATATTTTGCATTAGACTATGAAAAGGAAATTTATTTCCTTTCTTTATTATAGATGCATTAGATTCAAAAGTGTATAAGTTCATGAAGATTTGGAGTCTTTAATTACAATTTTCTTTTTCATGGTTTCACAGACTGTACAAAGCTACATTAAACACCATTAGTCAGGTGTTTGCGCAGGTTTGAATTTTACTTAAATCTGTTTTTTCTTCTATATCTATTGGGATTTAATTTTATCTTTATTTTCTTCCTGACATAAAGTCTTAGAATCTTCAACAATGGAGTGTAATTACCATGCTTAGAATCAATCAGGTATACTTGCTTGCATACACTGTCACTGGATTATGACTAAAATGAATGATTTGAGTGCTGATCGCTTGTAACAAAACATAATAAAACATTATATTACATGACATATAACAATTAAGTACTTGAAATATATACACTGTAATATTCCACTTAACAACAGAAACATAACCCCTAACATATACTTCAGCCATCCTACATATATGTATATATTTGTTTCTGAGCTCATTTTAATCTCTTGCTCTGTCTCAAGTGATGTCTGATTATTAGATGCTTCACTACCTTTATTTCTAAAGAGAATTAAACAAATGCTCAGTGTCGCAGCCTGAGAATTTTACTCTGAAGCCTGCATTACCCACAGTGCTCTAGTCTCAGATTGGCCAATAATAACATGACTCTAATGACAACATTAGTGCTTATGTGGTCACATTATCTTTACTTTAAGCTGTGACATTGATTATGGTCCTCAAAACTGCTGCCATTACCCCTGTGCCAAAAAGGCCTAACATGGCTATTGACAATCTTAACAGTTTTCACCCCATCTCCAACTTACCCGTTCTTGCAAGAATTCTAGAACGTACTGTCACATTTCAGTTACATAACCACCTCATGACAAATAACCTTTTCGAACCCCTCCAATCTGGCTTCCGTCAACTTCTCAGCACAGAAACTGGTCAAAGTCACTAACGATCTACTAATAGCTTCTGATTCTGGTTCTCTTTCTATACTCATCCTTCTTGATCTCAGTGTGGCTTTTGACACTGTTGACCATGACATCTTACTATCTTGTCTTGAGACTGTGTTTGGAGTTTCTGACACTGCTCTCAAATGGTTCAAGTCTTACCTCACTGATCGCTGTCACTTTGTCTCTCTTAATGGGTTTAGGTCTGAAATTGGTCTTGTTAAGTCTGGTGTACCTTAGGGCTCAATATTCAGAATTTACATGTTTCCACATGGTCAACTTTTAAGATCACATGGCCTCAGCTATCATTTCTATGCTGATGATACTCAAATATACATCCATACCAAACCTGACACTGATGTGGCTGTCTATATTCTATCTAATTGCATCTCTGACATAAAAACTTGGATGACTCAAAATTTCCTTCATCTTAACTATGACAAGACTGAAGTCATGCCTTTTGGCACCCCCCATTCAACCTAGATGTGCGGCATATTGTCAAAACATATTTTTTTCACCTCAGAAATATCGCTAGACTATGCCCTATGGGATCACTAACTGTGTTGCTTAAAAGCTGATCAACACATTACTATTGTAATGCTCTACTCACTGGGGTATCTAAAACTGCAGTATGTCCAAAATTCAGCAGCCAGAATCCTGACCAGGTCTAGTGCAAGTGATCACATTACTTCTATCCTGGAGTCCTTGCACTGGCTTCCTGTCAAATTCAGTGTAGACTTTAAAATCCTCATGCTCACCTAAAAGGCTCTGTATGGCTTAGCACCTCAGTACCTGTCTGAACTATTATCACCCTAATCCCCACCTCGCAACCTTCGATCTTCTAATCCTAATTCTTCTAATTCTGGTCTAACTGTCCCCCAAGACTGGTTCCATTCTTCACCACTCTGCATTTCTAAGTATCACGGTCTCCTCTGTATATTGTAATTGTAATTGTGTTTTATCTTGTGTATTCTTTTTATTTATTGTTGTTGTCATTCTGTAAAGCGCTTTGAGAAGCCACCTTTAAAGGCGCTATATAAAATAAAGTTTATTATTATTATTATTATTATTATTATTATTATTATTATGGCCATAGTTCAAGAACTTCGACATCAGCTGTATTTGGTAATTAACTCTACAAGCGTTGCCTTCTTTAATTAGTGATTATTAAATAACAAGGTTCTAATTCTCAATGAACCATTATTGATCAGAGCTGTGTTTTTGTATATTCACATCACATATAATCTGGGCACATTTCTCTAGTCAAACACATGGCATACAAGACAACGACAGTAACTGAGTACTGACTTGAAGTTCTTTTGATTTGGATTGCAATGATTTGATGATGGAAACAAGGCTGAAAGGCACACGTTTCACCTAGGGCAGAGGAAGAAAATATTGTGTAACACCTTTGTTTACATCCTTTAGTTGCCCAGAAGAGTTTCACCTGTGACAGAGGCATTTCACCACAGAGCACTTCTGTCGCACATGAACTCAGACCTCAGCTGAGAATTAGATGTGAATGAAATCTGAAAGATGGCACCTCCAGCTGCCCAGTGTCTTTCCTACCCCTTCTGGTGTATTGGTTTGGAAATTGTGGTCTAGAGAGAACAGCACTTCCTACTGGTCCACTAACACCTCTTATAGCAGCAGCATGTTTTTTAGAAGTCTGACATTGCAGCGCTGACCAGGCCCAGCCTTGCTTGCCATCTGGGATCTCATAAAGTCAGGCCAAAAGAGCAGCTGCACTTGTTTCTCTGCACTCCTTGTAAAACACTCTCGCCTCCTCCACTCTCCCAGCTTTTGTTCTCCTATGCTATTTAATCTTTGCTGTCTGCCCTGTCTTTCTCACACACTGAAGAAGGCTTCACAGCCGAAACGTTATGTTTTCTTTCTTCTCTTTTCAGTGTGGAATACACCAATTACTTGCTCTTTTGCAGCCTACGCATGCTGATGCATCTACCTACTCAAACTACCAAATGAGCAAGATGGGTTGATTGGATTCCTCCCTCAACTCTTCTTGTTGTTTTTCACCCAAATAGTGCAATACAATTGAAATTTTTGTTCGGCTTAAGAAAATAAAGTGTAAAATAGAATAAATCCACACTTATGGTAGGATAATCAAAATAATTAGGTGTGGTAAGTGTGCTAACATAATTTCAGAAAATTGAATTATAGCCAAGTTAGAATAGAAATTCAAGCTAAAATACTAATCTCCCATTTCTTCACGTCTGTGTGTGACTGAGGATTCCCGTAGCACAATTTTTTTTATAACCCCCACAACCTATCCCATCTACACCCCTGCAGCAACAATTCCTTGGCTCAATCCTCACAATACCGAGGGAGGTGGTCTGGGCAGCCACATTCTTTGGTAAGGAAGAAATTTTTCTTCCACCAGTCGAGCTACGCCAAATACACTCTGAGAATCTAGTCTCTCTCGTCTTTATTAGGATCTAGCCGAATAACTGAAATGGCATTGTTTCAGTTCAAATACGCCTATATAAACAGCATTTCAAATGTGTGCGTGTGTGCAGGACCAGCTTTGCCCATTTGAAACTTCGATTCAGCTTTTACCATGACTCGGAATCCCTTAAAATCATGGGAGTCTTCCATCGGCTAAAAGAAAGAAAGCTCTATCATGCAAAATCTCATCTTTCAGAACTACAGTAGGCTCGAAGTTTGTGCTCGGTGAGCGGGTTGTCACTTCATGAATGTTCAACCGAGCTCAAGTCATGAAGTGCAAATGATTTAGCCAAAGCATAAACTATCTACTGCATCAGTGTAGGATTTCATACTTCAAAAGGGAAAAGAAAGATTTATCAGTTCTCACATTTTTTTTACTTTTATTAAACATTCTCATTACATTTTATGTAAACAATTGACTTTTTTTAAGAGCACTGTTACAAATGTGTAAAAAAACTGCCAATCAGGTTGCAGTCGATGTTTTGCGAGGAGTCTAGGTCAGCGGTTGTGACAGGCGCAGGTCAGAGCTGCCACGAGGATGACAAACTCGTTGAAGTCCACCTTTGAGTCTCCGTTGTGATCCAGGGCCTTCATCAGCTTGTCAGCCTCATCCTGGTTCTTGGCAGCCTGCAATCAGATAGGAGATCAATGTTTTTGTGTAATCATTTATTCCCATTTTTTGTGTCTAAATTCTAAATTCAGATTGCATTTCCATTCCATCATGTAAATCATGTTGTTTATAATTCTCATCTGCTTAAGTACTGGAAAAGGAAATTATACAGTGTTGTCAGTTGGAAGACTCTTTTACTGATACTGATTAAGAACTGTAGTTTAAGGACGAATCTGTCAGGACTTCAGAAACACAATGGAACTGGAAAATATGTGACAAATTTTTACTAATACTAGGCCCTTTGTATTAAATTCTCAATATATTTTCTAGTCACCTGACAAAATCTAAAACAGAATGTATCCAGCTCTTGTATCAAATAATTTTGCTGATAGGCTCTTAAAAGGGGTATTTGCAATATAAAAATCCAGGATTAAGAACTATTATATTGAATAATAAAAAAACCCAAAGGAAACTTTAAATGTCTGGTCTCTGAGTGAAGAGATCTCATGTATTTGAAAAAAAAAAAGCGTATTTAGAGATATTTAGAAGTTGTCTGTAAGATAAAACAGTTCATTGAAAATGTGCTGTATGTAACATCACCTTACAAAATTGATATCAACATAAACTGATTGATGACCCAACATAAACATTTCTATTATTGTTGGAAGAATCGTGTTTTCATCAAAGAAAAGAGTGTCACAGGAAGCACTTGACTTACAAAATTAACCCTTTGCTCAGGGATTTCCAAGGAATACAAAAATAATACTAAGTGATCGAAGCTGTGGAGGCAACACTGTTCATCATGAAGACCAGGAGAAATTAACTCATCACTCACACACCTTCAGAAATGCTGGAAGCTCCTTCTCCATCATTGTCTTCAGCTCAGCCTTGGTCAGAGTCTGCTTCTTGCCATCAGTACTGGCATACTTGTCAAACACTTGCATTATCATCGCCATGGCATTCTCCAGCTGAGACATGGTGACTAGCTTCTTCTGCTACAAACTGTGGGACTCCTGCACCTCAGAGGTATGACTTAGTAGTGAACGTACAGAATGAAGCAAAGAGGACTTATATACACGCAGTATATGGGTTTCTACAGCCAATTGCTATTTGTTGTATCAGTCACTTTTTATCTGGGAGCAAATAGTATGTATTAGCCACCAGAGGGCTGTGGCCTGATAATATTAGAAGTGAAAATAATAGGAATAATAGGAAAATAATAACTGTGTCAACAGCTGTTTATCTCTCTCCTTTCAGAATTTTATTTCCTCCCACGTAAGATAAATATGTAACTAGGCAACCAAAGCTATAGTATAGCAATAGTATTTACAGTTTTTTTATACTTCTATTTGTACTTTTTAGGTGACCGCTTATTGGCAGGCCTACTTGACAATGGAGACACATATCGTATAAATCCATGTGCTTTTTCTTTTCTCAAGCTTGCAATGTGCAAAGAAAGGTCTAATGGTCACATGTGATTAGGTATATGGTACATTCAAGTCAAGCACACCTATGTGATCAATACCTGGTGTGTCCACCATAAGCTGGCAAGATATTTTAGCAAAATAGGCAAAATCATTTTGTAAAGAGTATAGGTATATTCACCATCCATTCTCAGGTCAAGGGATTATTTATCTTTGGCTTTCATTGCTCAAAGATACACTGAGACAACAGCCATATCACCCTGCAGCTCTCAACTGGCTATTCACTGAAGATAAGCGGGATTGAGCCTGGTCAGCACCTGGATAGGAGACCTCCTGGTAAGCTATGGTTGCTGCTGGATGTGGTATCAGTGGGACCAGTGGGGGGTGCCTGTCCCGTGGTCTGTGTGGGTCCTAATGCCCTGGTATAGTGCTGGGGACACTATACTGTAGTGGACGCTGTTTTTCAAATGAGACGTTAGACCGAGGTTCTGACGCTCAGTGGTCATTAAAGATCCCCGGGTTTTTTTTATAAGAGTAGGGAGTTATCCCATTGTCCGGTCCAAATTTCCCCCCTCTGCCTTTACTGTGGCATCCAAATTGTCCCCATTGATTGGCTTTGATTGTCCCCATTGATAGGTATGATTGGCTTGCACTTTTCCTGCGATGGACTGGCACCCCGTCCAGGGTGTACCCTGCCTTGTGCTCATTGCTTGCTGTGTAGGCACGACACCATATGTTATAAAGCAGTTTGGCAAATGACATGACATATGCACTGCTAACTGTATCAGAGCAGTGGAATACAGGTTTAAAATCAATGTGAGTGGTTGTCTATCAACAACACAAAATCACAGAATGACACTGAAAGTTAAGAAAAATTACACTGTATTGACAGGAAAGAATGGTCAAAAGTGGCTCCTCATGTCTTTGTACTACTAAACCCATGGTTTCCTAATTTGGGCCAGATGAGACACAAAAACATTGGGCTTTACTAATATCTAACGAACTGGAATGCATTGCAGACAAAGGATATTACCATTGCAAGAGTTCCTGTACTGTAGATACCAACAGCTCTTAGTTGTCTGAAGATCTGGGTTTGTAGTTTTACTGACTAGGTTGATTTTGCATACTTTTTTCAGCTGGAAATACCTCCAGAATCTGTTGATACAGTAGTAGATGGACAATGACAGTAATGTGCCATCATAATGCAGTTCCTATTTTTTTGTACTGAAACATCAAATCTGTCACTAACTGACCATGACCAAGAATTGTCAAGTAGTAGTTCTCAGTTTGCTTAGTAACTTAAGGAGCAGGACTATGATGGTTGGGAAAAGCTCTTTTAAGAACATAAAAAATATTACAAGAGGAGGCTATATGGAGTGGAGGCTACATGGCCCACCAAACTCTGTGGTAGTTAATTGATCCAAGTATCTCATCTGGCTGTTTCTTGGATATTGGCTTCAAAAACGTAGCTGGGTAGCTTGTTCCATACTGTCACAATCCTCTATGTAAATAAATGTCTACTGTTCTGTTTTAAATGCACTTCCACGTAGTTTTATTGCATTTGGACTATATAAAATACACTTGAACTACACTAAGAGGTCAAATCAAGTTATTGTTTCGGTTAGGGCTTCAGCCAGTTAAATCATGTTCTTGGTTAACATAAAAATAAACTCCTAGGAGTTCTTGCACAACTTCTGTGCGTACCATTGTATGCATAAATACATGGTGGAGCGGTGGCGCTGTGGCTAAGGATCTGTACCTGTGGGTGAAAGGTTGCTGGTTCAAATCCTGTGGTTGGCAGAGGAATCCTCCTCTACTGGGCCCCTCAGCAAGGCCCTTAATCCCAACTGCTCCAGGGGTGCTGTGTAAATGGCTGACCCTGTGCTCTGACCCCAACCTTCTCTCTCCCTGTTTGTGTGTCTCATGGAGGGCAAGCTGGGATATGCAATAAGACAAATTCCTAATGCAAGAAATTGTATATGGCAAATAAATATAGATCTTATTTAATAATTGTAGTGCTTCTGTGGTTTCTGAGGTGTCAGAATAGGTCACTCTTACACGTCCCTGTATTTGTAAATTTGTGTGAAACAGACATCAGAAGCACTGTCTAGCAAATGGCACTAATACAGTTTTTGAGCTTTATATGGCCACAGGCCTCTCCATCAGATGGATGGAGAAGGACTAATCTCTTCATTAGTCTATCAGGCTGATATGATACCTTTTCTGATATTTCAGATTATTTTTCTGTGAATGGTAACTGAAATCTCTCGTAGTCCTTTCAAAAAGTAACTGAGAACGTTTGTTATTTTCAATGACTCAGCAACTCAATCTAAGGATTCACCTACTTATTCACATGAGGATATTCACTATTGGATCATTTTATTAATAGTCCAGATATAATTTTTTTTGGTGTGTTTTATGTTTAATCAGGTTATCTTAATATTTTCTTAAGGCTTTGACTAAAATCTAGTTATGTTTTCAACCTAAAAAGTCGAAGAATATGGGTCCCGCCTAGAGAGTTAACAGACTTTTTCTTTGTACTGTAGCTTGTCTCATACTCTTACAATGTTTTGTGTAAACTAGGGCTCCCATTTCCTTTCACAGTCCGAAAACATACTGATAGGTTGATTGGCTTCTGGAAAAAATGGCTCTGGTATGAGTGTGTCTGTGTTTGTGTCAGTGTGTACCCTGCAGGGTGGATCTCTATTTCAATTTAGAAAATTGATTACGTTTTTCACCCTAAAACTTTTTAAACTCTAAAACCCACTCTTCATCTCCATTGCTTTCACAGTGGTGGAATTCACGATAGTGGTTTCTCAAAAACTTCCCTCTTTAACCCTTTAGTTCCCATTGAGTCAATGGCTACTATAATGTGAGTTTTCCATAACTGGATTCTTCGGGAATGCAGAACTGATAACAATATATAAGGCACTAACCTGTTTTATTTTTATGTTGCGTTGCCTCTAAATGCAGGATAAGAATGATTATTTATGTTTGTGTTTAGATAGTTTAATGGTTGGTTGCATCATTTTGTCTATGACTGTACAGTAAGTATATATAAAATATGTTAAAAAATAGTATTTCAAAGATATGATGTCATATCTGGATTTTAATTTGAACAGATTTCTTTACATAAAAGACAAAACAATAAGAACTGAAAGAAAGTCAAGAGAATTATCTTTTTTAAAGACAAAGATAAATTTCCTGTCTTGTTGACACTTTCTTGCTATCAAACTTTTCACCTATTTCCTGTTGTTTCTCATAAACTTCAGTTTGTTCAACAGTTTCATAATCACATTTAAGTTAAGAATAACTGTAAACCAAAACTGTTAACAATATTTTATTTCAGAAAATAAGTGGGTTTTGACCAATAAAACAAACCTAATTCTCCAGGAGTTTTCTGTGTAACATTTTATTTTTAAAAGCAAAATATTGTTACCGTATGAGAAAAGTTTGAAAGTCACAATGCTCGCTGTTAAAAAAATGAATATGGTCGTTTGATCAAATTAGTTCATATACAATACTTTGTAGAACTTTAAAAAGTATATTAACACTCAAAATAAAATAATTATATAAATTTGTATATAAATACAAAATTACAGTTTCTCCAAATTCTGGCAGATGTTTAGACTAAAAGAGACTAAAAGAGCCTGAAGTTGGCTGAGAGTCACACCTTGTGATTCATTGTTTCATTGAACTATGAACTAAGTGCAAAGTAGAGCCATTTGCTATTATGCTCTTGTTTGATTAAACATTAATGTGCATTTGTACTGATATCTTGAGCTCTGCCAGCCCTAAGTACACTGCGTAAGAGTCCATGTGGGATCATTAGCTGTAGGTGTGTTCAGTTAGTTCATGGTATACTTTCGACCTTTGCCCACATTTGAGTGATTCATCCAGCATCACATCCACATAAAGAGACTCAGAAGGGTGTTTTTGTGGGCTCAAACCTCGGTTGGGACTCTGCTGTTGTATTCCGAAGCAATCTCCTTCACTCAGATTGTCTATTTTTTTCTTAAGACTACCGCTCACTCCAAAAGAGCATAGAAGAAGATGAATGTTTGAAATTACAAAGCACACAATTAATGTGACTGACACTTTACCCAAGGAAAGCAGAATATTAATTTTTGTGAAACAATTCTTGTTAGATTCAGATCGGCTGTATGACATGGTGTTCTGTAAGTAGTAAGTAGTAAGTGTAAGTTGTTGTCCACATTTTGTCCATATAATGAAATTAAATCTTTCTTTCTTGCTCTAGAAGCATTCTAAATTGACTGTCAAAAAGTAATAAAGCAACAAAAGTGAAAGCCACATCCTCAACAGAAAGTCATTATAATGATTGCTTTTAAAATGTCACACCATATTTCCATTTCCTGTTGCTGACCTATAAGAGACTTTCTAAGTTTCCACAGCTCACCCAATTCTTTGGGGTGGATTTTTACCCTAGAAGCGAGAAACAGATTATTACAGCAATGAATGAGAATAAAACACAACATTGTGAGCAAAAAGAGAAAACGTGAAAAGGCTTGAAGTCTCATATGGTTGTCATATGCTAATATACATGACTATTAATATGCACTATAAGGTGTGAACAAAAACACTTGCACAAAAGAAGAGAAAGTTGTTTTCCGAGGGCAAACTCCTGTGTTCATTTATTTATTCAGCACATTAAGTCAGTGATTTTCCTTTCCGTAACAGAAGCTTTTCCCAGCATAATGTTATTGAACCACTCACCATTCTTCCTATTTCTTTGAACTGTCACTTTACTGTTATCAGTAGCATGTGATACCTGCATGGTCATTCCTTCCGAAGGACTTCAAGATGAACGGCTTTATTTGGTGGTTCTCCAATTAAAGTACTTCTTGTGAAACGAACATTCCAACAGTTTTCAGACTGGATATTGGATTAGTTTCTTTTTAACTGCTACTACGGTGGCTTCAGTACATAGTAATTGTTTTCATTTTTTTTACTTTTTGTTTTGCTTCTTTCACGGCTTTCCAGTGTGAACTGTTACAACTATCAGTCTCCACTGCTGTCACTGCTGTGGTGATATGTGTTTGTTAAGAAAGCTTGCACTCAAATCAGCTTACTTACCGTATATTGTAGATCTACTACTTTCTCACACCTCCATATGGTTCAGTGCCCACAGTTTCCATTGAGATCCCCTTCGCCTCAAACTTAATAATGATATATAATTGATATTAATGCAATTATTGCATAAGTATGAGAAAAATTATGAAATAGTTTCACAGTAGTATAGATGTTGTGAAAGCAACATCATGAAACTGCTACTGTTACTGTACATAACCAACCAGAAAATATTATAGTTTCAAAAGATCACTGTCAGTTTTTGGTGTCTGTGATTTAAGACCCACAAGAGGAAAGACATGATAAGTAAATAATTTTGTTATTCACCAAAAATGTATGAACACATTTTAACTGGCCTTTCTGAGGGGAGGAAGCACTTTCATGGTTTTATTTTGTGTTCTGAGAAGTTACGCAACCACCACAATGCGGAACGCTTTTTCAAAGTGAAGTGTTTTTTAAAATAAGCAAGATATACAAAACTTATGGTAGAATAGCCCCTGCACATATGCATTATTTTGCATGAACAATTATGCAAAACTAGCTTATTTTATAGTTTCCTGTTAAATGAAGATTCGATATTGAGCTTTGCACTGGCCACTCGCCTTAAAAGGTATGAAAATAGTATTCAAAGAACTTGAAAATCAGTATGCTTTCTGCGAAGTGTTTGGCATTGTGGAAAAAAAATGCTAAAAGCAAAATTGTTTTATTTTTTAATAGCAAAATTTCTATACATTTGAAAAACACAACTGGATTTACAATGTAGGGAAAATATTGAAAGTAGTTACTTTGCAGTCTTTTAAAAATATTAAATTAGACTGTGCTCTTCAAAACAGAAGAAGAAGCTACTCTTTCTTTTTCAGACATGGATAGCAATGTCACACCAGAAATGCTTGTGATGCATATATTTCAAATAAGCTGTGGTACAAACTCAGTGGTACAAAATCTGCACCATTTTCTGAAATATAGTTCAAGCTCACCTTTTTTATTTTTGTTCTAAACATCCTGTACCTGAAAGAAACTACAAACACAGTTTTAGTCACATTTGCAGTGACACAGTGTCACACCTATTTTTGTAAATGAATGGTTAGAGGTGTCAAATATTTTTACACATGGTGGCAAATATTACCAATTCTGTGAGATATTGAACTGCACAAGAACTAGAGCAATTGGAATGATTTTTCATCTGATAATTACGATTGTCTATTTCAATCTAAGAAAACCTCACCAGCGCAATTTATTATACTGTACCTTAAAATGTTTTAATTTTAATTCTGGTCTTTATTTCTAAGAATGCTCATTGGTTTTCAAAAAACCCTTAGATTCTGCAGAACAATATTATGGAAATAATACTGCGGCAGAAACTAGAAAAAAACTCATTTAAAACTTAAAGTTAAAACAGCAAACAAATTGCTCATAAATTAGCATTCAGAAACAAAGGTAACACTGCCCTGTGCTTCCAGCATGAGTTAATGTTCTGCTGGTGGCACAGTGCCTGTTCTTGATCTCCCTTTTCTCCTGCATAACACAGAGGCCCAGAGATTTGCACTTGAGTCCTCAGCTGCTTCGCTGATCTCCTCGTGTAAATAATTAAATTTATATGAAGTCTCCGGTCATACGTGGATTTCATGTCTACACTGTAAGACTAGCCAGGGGACTTCCACACTGTTTCATTATTATTCCGATGTGTCAGTTGATTATCACATTGATCTGCATGGCACTGAACATTGTTTTTTTTTTTGGTAGCTAGAGATTTCCATCTACAAGAGCACATTTTCACTCTTTGACTGCGAGGGAAAGAGAGTGTTTTAACAGCAGGTACACGACAGGCTTTCAACTCACAGAGTCCTGGCAACGACAGTCACAGGTGAAGCTGGAAGTACATTCATCATGAAGAAACAACTTAGGCACCAGTGACTCCATGTAACTGTCCTTTCGACAAAATTCACATTGCTTCTCAATAGTAAATGTCTCTGAAGGAAACTTTTTTCTTAATTACAACGTATTTACAAAACAAAAAAAATCTGTTTTTTCTGTATGTCTTAGATATCTTTCTGTCAAAATCAGATACCATGAAGCTGTCCTTATGACCACGTGTTATATTCTCATGTTTTATATTTGCAGTGTAGAGTGTATGTTTGAAGTACAACCCGAATAACTTCAGATTAACTAAACAAATTCCACCTGTTACCTCATCTCACATGAAGTATAAACAGCGAAGTAATATCATACTGCTCCTACCCTGTAGTCATTTCCAGCAACATCACAGTTTTTGTTTAAATTTGTTAGTTAACTCTTGCAGAAGTTCTTGAACAGGTTTAATTGTTCTTAGTACTGAAGTACTGACATAAAACTGTTAGAAAGATGTACACATCATCTGCCAGGAATGTTGAGTTAACCTGCTCTTCTCCTTTTTTCAGTCATGGAGATTAAAATAGTCAAAGGATTCATAAATCGCAGACAGTGCCTGAAACAGGTACATAGAAAGCAGTTAGACATTGGAGTCTTCATTTATGTAATTTATAGCTTATTTCAAAACAACACAATCAATGTATTTTTTTATTTTTTTAATTATTGAAAGAATTAGTAATGGTGGGTGGACAGAAGTCAATAACTCTTTAATTCAAATTTTATTTTTGTTAAAATTCAGGTTCTGTGTGTACTGTACCATCTTTAAAGTATGTTCAGATATTATACAGAAAAAGGGCAAAAAGCCACTGCCAGCAACACAAAAATTAAATTAAATTAAAAGTAAATTCAATTATTCTTTAAAAAATTCTGTAGGAATCTAGAAGTATGTGTTATTTAGGCATAAATCTATCACTTTGAGGCAGCACATTGACACATAAATAGAAGGGCACCGTAAAATTGAACTAGAACAACATACTCACAAATAGAATTTAAAAAATTGAAACGTGACCTTTCCAGATCAAACACCACAAAGATAAGGCATTTTGTATGTGTTATCGAGCTTGTCAGCTTTCTCAGCACAGAGACCAGGATTCTCTGTTTTATATTTTGTTATACTCTGTTTTATACTGCTGCTTCAATGGGAGAGAGATTGAGCATTAACTCACCCAGTGAGTTGAGCCCGGAGAGGAGTTTGAATTTTCCTCCATGATCTCATTATGCCTGTCCTCCTCCCCCTGGTCCAGTGCCCCTGATTCTCCAGGTGCTGCATCAGCTATCCTAGGGGCCAGACCTTCCAAGGAAATATAGAACTGTTACAGCCAGGCTTTCTGAACTCTTCTGTACTGAATACAATTTTCCTTTCTTCTAATAAACACCATTTAATCTACCGCAGCATTATTTCAGTGGGAGGGAAAATATGGAAAGTCACCTTGTTATTTTAAAAAGACCACATCTCATGGGGGTATTAACAATACTTCTAAATCTTTTTTTTTATCTTATTTATGCTAGTCATCTTTTGTGTTGAGTGACAAAAACATTGGTGTAAATTGGTTTAATGCTTTATTGCTTGGAATGAATCGTGAGCAATGCAAAAGCTTCACATTTATCTGTCGTACGTGTACTGTAAGAGGTCAGAGCCGTGTCAGAGCGTGAAGGTTCAGGTAGGCGTTAAAGTTTGGTGTGCAGCAAAGAAAAAAAATAAAAGAACACAAGATTTTAGCTGTGAGGTGGGGTGCTGTCGAGGAAAAGCATGAAAATGGGTAATTGGAGTTGACTATGGGAGTAAAGAGGTGGGAAACTAAATAATAAAATCCTGGGGAAATATGAAAGGTGAAGAGGAAGTATTTGTGATCTGCTGTACTCTATATTTACTTAAAGAGAATGACTAATTTAATTAGCCTTGCTTTGGCAAGGAAGACGTGTTACCACCCTGCTATGTATGCTGTAAGTACCAGCGCAGGGCTCTGGAAAAACTCTGGAAGGTTTAGAGCAAAACATATGCAAAATACAACAGGTGTTGTAGAAGCTGTTCGAATCTGGTTAGAAACATAATAGCTGTTGATGAGACCCCCCTAAACAAAAACAACTGACATATACTGTACGGTATATTAACACTTTCACATTAATCAAATACACAGGGGGAGGTCCTGAAAATGTACGTTACACATTTATTTGAACTTTTAATGGATGTGTGTGTAAATTGAAAGTCATGCTAAGTGATATCGTTAACTCAAACTAAAAACTTGTAAAAACTAAAATAGATTCCTTCTTTCAATGTTACATTGCATAGTGTTTTTTTTAGAATTCAAGAGGGATCTTCTAAAAAATGAGTATATTGTTAATTTTTTCAACCAAACCTAAATATTGTTACAGTACAAAAAGGATGTTTGAAAACTCTAAATGCTTAGCATTACAGAATTCAATCATAATGGTAGTTTGGTAAAGTTAATATTTTAGCAAAATATGAATGGATAAATATGCAGTTTAATAGCCAGTATATAAAGTTTATATAATTAGACTAAGGAACATGGGTTTTATGTATTCCTCAATATTAACATACAGATATAATTCTATTGATAAATGTTGTCTTATGCCTAATATATTTTTATCTCAAACAAAAAAAGTGTTGACTTCCTTTACACTAAATCAGGAAACTTAGAAGCTCATATAGTACAAGCAGGATCATACCTGGACCATAGGATGTAAGTTTCTTTCTTTTCCAGTACCACAGAAGACTCACGCCCAGTAACACTAACAATATTGGAAACACAGTAAGAACAGCAGAGCTCCCCTGTGTGTCTGCTAAATTACAGTAAAATGAAAGACAAAGAAATGCTAAAATTATGCATGCTTTTATACTGATATCAAATAAAACTAGTTTCAAAGGTAGATGGCAACATAATCATTTCCATTTGTTGGCTCCAGCTAACCAAACATTTCTCAAGGAGCTGACAGTTTCACAGTATGACTTAATTCAAGAAACAGATATATTTTTATTTCACATTTGAAGTTTAAATAAAGTGCAAATACAAAATTAATAAAATGAATAATAAATAAGGCAAATTATTTGCTCTAGTAAGGTAAATTAAAGTGCCTTTTTTTCACACAATCAAATATGCCTGGAAAGAACCCATTCCATATCCCTTGTGCCATGTTATTTTGATCGCATCTCAAACTGAATTAGAGCACAGCTCACTGCAACACTGTAATAATGAGACAGATGGACACACTGTACTGTTTGTAAATTGAAATATGTATTTAAATTTTTAATTGGAATATGGTAAGCTAATAGTCAAGGACCTATAAACTAAAGAAGTGGTATACAGTATTATGAAACAAATATATGACAAAATATTTTTTTAAATGTTTGGTTTCTTTTTGATTAATGTTCTTTATGCTCACAATTGGCAAGATAGGCTGAGATACTTCTTTTATCAGTTTATGTTCAAAAAGTTATGTTCACTAGCTTTTAATGTTTTAAACTAATCTAGTTTCTTTCCACTACTGAGGTGGTCCACTATGACCTGGTATGCTTTCCTAATTAACATAATTACTAGGTTTGCAAAGCAAATAATTTAAAACTTAATTATTAATCATTTTAAATCTTCTTTCAAACTCTGCAGCACTAAAGTACTTCTGGCTAAAAACATAAATATTGCACATTCAGGTTCCAATACAATGTACAGAATATGCACTTATTAAAATGGTCAACATGGCAACTTTTTTCTCCATTTTTAAAGGTACAAAAAACAGATTAAATAACTTACTTTCTTTTGCATTCACTATTAGAGTCGTTCCAAGTCCTTGTGCCATCATTAGCAGAGGGATCTCAATAATTATTTTACATGAGTATGATCCCGTATCGTTCTCAGACACACTTGGAATTGTCATCTCAGAACAGTTCCTGGAAACACAATAAGTGTATTTATTCTCTTCACATCTCTGAGCCCCCTTCACTTTCTTATAGTTCAAAGATGACAGTTTAGACTGATTGTTCTTCCACCATTCCAGTCTTAGTTGCTCAAGATTCTGCAGCTGTGTCTCCCAGCAGCAAACCATCTGAACTGAATCTCCCACTCTTGCTGTAATTCTCTCAGGAAAGTTAGTGATGTTCATTTTACTTGCATCTGTCAGATAAAATAGAGACAATAAACTGTTAGTTGTGCGTATGCATAAACCCTAATTTCTGATGTTTCTGATTGTATGTAAATTCCATTATTATGCACCTTTCAAAACCCTTCTGCCCAAAGCTGTTCACTACTATTACAGGTACTAATATCGCTGAATACAAAATTGTATTCTGATGACTGATGTCAGCAAATCTATTTATACAATATGTATATTTTTCTTCTACTTTTCATTTTCTTTTTCTTATGTAAATAAAACAAGTAAGAAATTGTTAACTTCAATGGCTCCTGTACCCCTATAATTGTGCAGTATTTCTAGCTAAAGTACACATCAAGCTCTATGAAACATATGTTTTACATTACAAACACCTTGGACAAACAGTATGGCTATCTGAACATCACACACCAGGTTACAAGCTTGTAGAAAATGAATTTGAGCAAAATCTCAAGAAACCATATCTGCAATAGTTTATTTTCATCAGTTAGTTAAACGTTTTTGGATGTTCGTGAGTGAAATTAAGTGAAATATTGGTCAGTGAATATCATCATCACTACTGTAATAATATGTACAGTAGCTGCATGCAGAGGTCATCAGTGGCCAAGTTGACACATCACTTTTCACAGACAAAGACATCTTTTGATACATCATGTATAGTTTTCTTTGTGTGTTCCAGCTTAGCTATGGTTCTGTCTGCACTCTCTCTAAATGTGTTATATGACATTCTTTCAGTGTACCTGCAGGAGAGGTTAAAGGTATTTTGGGATACGTTATTACTGGTTCCTATGTCATGGACAAGGTCAATGTTTACTAAAGCATGTCAGAGTTCATCCTTTACTATTCCGTACTATTCCATAGTAACCATGTCCCTGTCTGTACTCCTTATAGTATAGAATTCCGAATTTAGTTTTTATTTGACAAGAAGGACAGGTTAAAAGTCTTATATGGAGGCCAGATCATGTGATCAATCAGCTTTATTCATTATATTTATTCATTATTCATTATTTCCCATAGCCCACTATTCCTCTGTGATTACACATAAGTACGGCATTCTAATATAGAGATATGACACAAATATCTGAGACAGAATGCGTATTTGTTTATGTGTATGCAATTTTCAACATACATAAATCTGTCAAGTGCACGCAGGGAGAGAGTTGGTTGAAATGTTCTTCATGAAGTCCAATGTAGTGACCATGCAAAGTGACAAAGCAATGTGTTCTGAGCATGTCACGTTTCATTGATACTTATAAAGTTTTGAGAGTTTGTTATAATGTACCACCTTTAGCCTTCAATTTGACTCACTCAAGAAGGCCATGTCTTTTATATAGCATCCTATGATGAATAGCCTTGAAAGATAACAAAACCTTCTTCATAAAGTACATATACAGTTTTTTATTCATTTTCTTTGTAGAAGAGGCTGTTCAAGTGTTTTTCACTGAATCATTATGGCCGCCAAACCATGTGACCTGTCAGCATAACTTTCACTTTGACACAGCTTTTCATAGACTTTCACAGTCCATTCAGATTTGTATGTCAGTGACATGTAAAACTTTTTTATAATGATAATCCAAACAATAAGTGTATTATAAAAAACATGTATACATATCCTAGAAAATCCATTAGTGATATTATTTTCCAATAAATGTAAAGCAGTAGGAAAGTTTTCACGTGATTTAAAGCATTAACATTAACGTTAAAACGATAAAGTAACATGAACGCAGATTTCTTGGAAAGCCAGTGTTGAGGAGCCTCGGAGCTGAAATAGGTGGCAAGAGAAGAAGTAAAGGAGTGAAATTATGCAAAACAAGAGTTACAAGTATTTGATCGTGTAATTTGGTTCCAGTTAGGATAACCCACGAGAATGGTTTTATGGTACTTAGTAATGGTCAAAAATGGTCTGCTGAACTAGCCTTAAGTGTTTTTTATAAATAATTCTTGCACTTTGAAACTACATTGTTGGTACTACTGTATATAGGCTTTTTGTTCATGTTAAGAACATTTTTCTAATATTTGGAAGTAGGTATTTATGGAGACACAATACAGTGTAATTGAATGTAAAACTGTAAATTGCTAAAAACATCACAACATTTATTTTGAGCTTTTTATATAAAGGGTTACCCTGTGAACTTTTCAGAGCATTATATGGAACAGTTGTTTATTTGAAAGCTTAGATCTGCACATAGGGTTTTCAAGTGCCTTTGACAAGAGCGTTATCCCCAGCTTTCATTACAACAAGCATAGCATGAATAATTTTTACTTTACATAAAGGCTAAACAAATTAATATTTTGATATTGGAGAAACTGGAAAGTACCACAGAAACTCACCCAAGGAAGACAAAGAGGGCAAGAGTAGGCAGCCTAGCAGTGCTGTGAAGAGGCTCATTTCTAAACAATGCTGATCAGTGCCACAGGCAGAACTGTGCTAAACTCACTAGAGCACACTTCTCGAACGTCCCTCTGAAGGTAGTAAACCACATATCCTCATCTCTGTCTGCTCAGAGATGTAAATCTTTAGTCTACTGTTCTTTGCTTGCGAATGGGCTGTCTACATTAACCACAAACACATGCTCTACACAGTATGAAATGTGTTTGCATCAATTCACAGCACATAGGGCTAGGTGGTGAAATCACTTATTTTGACAAATTTGATTAATTTCTAGAGCATTAACTTTTATTTCCACATTGATGAAAATTACACTACAACTTACGATATTGAATATTGCAATCAGTAGTTCCATCCAGCAACTGTGGTTCTGGTTGGAGACGATAGCAGTCTCCTGTACAGGACTTTGCTTTCAGTATTTTTAACAAATTATTGGACTGGTATGTGAGTATAGCTTGCAGCTGTATGCTGGTTTTGTGCTCTTTGCGTTCGTTCTGTGTATCCGGATTCTATGTTTCGTAACCCTTTTTCTTGAAAGGTACAGTCTTTATCAAGAGAGGAGACTTCCTCTCTCACCTCACAACTTAATGAAATATTATGAGCTATGCACGTGTCGCCCTGCTGGATAATACACACTATTTGTGTGGGTGTATGTTAATGCGCAAAATAACAATTCATTGTCGTACCCTGACAAAATTTATGATAAATTAATAAACACTGTATTTCTGCCTATTTTAATTAATAATATTTAGTGATCTGTAATGTATTTGTGAGTCTTTAAGTATTTGTATACAAATTCATAGTTTTAAGAATCAATGGACACTGTTGTTCGGTATATTTTCATTAATAAAAGATGCTTTATGATCTATGATATGGCATTCTTTTTCAATACAAGTTCATTACAGAATATTCTTTTTTGTCACTTTACTTCATTGTTCTGTGTGGATGTATTACTGTCAGGTGCTGTTCTTTAAACACAACAGGCTGTCTCAATCCCATTAAAGGCAGTGTAGGGTGCTTGCTCTGGACTGGCGAGATGGTCCAGTGAGAGGGCAGAACAAGAGAGGCCATTGCAAGCAACATGTTCAACAGAAGAACAACCAGCACAAAGTCAGGTTAATGAGTGAGCAAGAATGAAAGTCAGTCTGATACAATTGAAAGACCATGAAAGGCAGGGATGTTCAGGAAAAAGTACCTGGACTCACAGACGTACAGACAGGTCTAGTAAACAAGATACTGATGGTCTAGCAGAAGCAGAGAGAAAATGAGCAACAAAGTACACAAAACCAAGCATATCAAAATAATAACATATAAATGAATACAAGTGTATCACTTGTGATTTTGTCAATTCATTTGAAGCATTTTGTCATAAATCCCTTGACTATTTCATGGAGTAATCCTTGGAACAGATTCTTAATATCTCACTTGGTAAATGCAATCTTATGAATTGCAATCTTATCAGTCTTCTTTTTTGCGGCCTTTATAGTCACCCTGTTTTCTGCACTGAACATTTTATGAGAGGGAGGCAAAGCCCCTCCTTGGAGAGAGCTGTGTTGCTAAGTGACTACAACTGTGGTAACAAGTTTATTGGTAAAATACCTGCATCATCCACCATCTGTGGGTCAGTTTTATATTTAGTAATAGTGAGTTAGTGTGTGAAAATCACAGTGTAGGGTGTAGTAGAAGGGCCCTCACTCTGGCAATACGAGGTATGGTGTTAGCATTTTATTGACAAACCTGTTCTCTCACTCCATAACAGCCTGTCCCTTTGAATTAAATGACTTTTCCAAACTCCCTAAAGGAAAACATCTGACCGCTGTTATAGAAACGCCCACAGCTGTTTCTCATTAGACAGCTATGATCACTTAGCAACACAGCCATCTCTAATGAGGGTCTCAGCCTCTTTGCAATCTACGCCTCATATTATCACCCTCTGTAGTATCTTGAAGTGAAGCAAGACTTACTACGTTTAAAAAAATATTTTCAACATTATTATAGATGATATCGCAGAGCCACTAAATGCCATAAATCTGTCTCAACTAAATTTTCAAGTTCTGTTTTGTTTTCTTTTAACTTATTTTCATTTTTTTTCTGTATTTCATTTTTAACCATTGTTAAACATGGCTCCTGGTGTTAAGATTAAATCCTAATATTAAACACTTCTGCTTACCTACATATATACTGTATATAAGTCAGGCAGCTATGTTCTCCTTGTGTATCTCTCTTGCAAATCCCCCACCTCCCTGACTATACCCTTTTAGCAAACTCCTTAGCTCAGGTAGTAAGGAGGCTGTTATGTTCCCCACACTGTTCCACAGCATGTTGTGGCTGTGCCCACCCTTGCTGTTCTCTAGTGTGTCTTTTCGCAGTTTCAGTGGCCGGCGGCCATGTCTTTCTTTTGCTTTGATCGCCAAGGAGGTAATTGATGAAGAGCACTTGGCTTTAGTTAGAACTTTCACTGTAATAGGTCCTCTGAGGGCTGGTAATTAAACCCTGTTCATCTCACTCTATCACCATTCCAGCTTCCTAGTGGAGCCCTTCCTGATCCTGGTTTAGATAGATAGATAATACTTTATTAATCCCGTAGGGAAATTGATGTGTTACAGAAGTCCAGCCCAAGACAAGCAAAACAGACATCAGAATAGTTATAAAACAAAAGACAACAAAATAAATACAAATAAATAAATACATAGGTGTGTGCAAAATGTGCTGATCATAGTCACTGTAAAAACAATAAAATATGTGCAAAATGTGCATAGGTTTATACAGACTGATTGTCCAAAAAGTACAATGGAGTAAACATGCTGTCCATAGGGGAGCAAATGAAGGGCTAACAGTCCTAGACTAGGGCAGCGTTATACACCCTGACAGCCGCCGGGAGGAAAGACCTGCGGAAACGTTCCCTTGAACACTGTAGCTGGAGCAGTCTATTGTTAAATGTGCTCCGCTGCCCAGTAACAGTCCCATGAAGCGGATGAGAGCTGTTGTTCATGATGGCTGTGAGCTTGGTCAGCATTCTCCTCTCAGCCACCATCTCCATGGGGTCAAGGCTCATCCCCAGCACAGTGCCAGCCTTCTTGATAAGTTTATTGAGCCTATTTGCATCTTTTGTCATGATGCTGCTGCCCCAGCACACAACAGCGTAGAAGATGGCCGCCGCCACCACTGATTCATAAAAAATGTGTAGCAGTGTTCCACACACACCAAAGGACCTGAGTCTCCTTAGAAAATTGAGTTGGTTCTGACCTTTCTTGTACAGGGTGTCAGTGTTACCAGACCACTCCAGCTTATCATCCAGGTGTACCCCTAAGTACTTGTAGGAATGTACGCCCTCTATGTCCTCACCCTGGATGGAAACAGGGTTCAGCGGAGACTTATTCCTTCGAAAGTCATTTCAAAAGATCAAAGATCATTTCTTTGGTCTTGCGGTGTTTAGCTGAGAGATGGTTAAGATGAGACCACTCCACAAGATTGGTAATCAAGCTCCTATATTCCTCCTCCCTCCCCTCTCTAATACACCCCACAATTGCAGAGTCATCTGAAAACTTCTGCAGATGACATGTCTCAGAGTTGTACCTGAAGTCAGAGGTGTAAAAGGTGAACAGGAATGGAGCAAGGACAGTCCCCTGTGGAGCCCCAGTACTGCTAATAATCTGTTCGGACACACAGCTCTGTAGCCGTGCATACTGTGGCCTGCAGGTCAGATAGTCTATAATCCAGGACTGCAGGGGAGTGTCCACCTGCGCCGTCCTTAGTTTATCTCTCAGTAAAGGTGGATGGATGGTATTAAAGGCACTGGAGAAGTCAAAGAACATAACTCTTCCATTAAAGTTTCCATCTTGGGGCTTTGTTCATGGCTGTGCTATCTGGAGAATTTCAGTGGCTGAGAGGTGAGATTCAGTGTGAAGCGGGGACATGTCCTAAGCAGATGTATCTGCCAACTTGGTCCAGATAGCACCTGGGAAATCAGTTCTGTCCCCTTCCAGGCAATTCTCCGGACGGCTGGTCTGGTCTTTGGAGGAGACCCTACCTTAAGGGCCTGTCCCTTGCATCAGCCCGTCTCCTTATGCCCTCTGGTTTGGAGTTCCCTGCCCGACCTGGCAGTTCATCTTCAGACTGGTGCTACTATGTGCTGGTCCCCTCTTCCCCACCTAAGGTGCAGTGACCCGGCTACTCCCCCCAGTCTGTCGAGCCAAGCTCTTGAGTCCATAACACCTACAATGTCACTCAGTTTCCCAGGTGCCGGGACTGATCATTAAACTGCGTTTGAACAGTCTGTCTGAGAAGCGACATTCCCTTAGCCAGATAAATACTTTGTACATATCTCATCTCTCTATCTCTGTGGTTCTCAAACGCCCCCAGGTGGTACGCCAGCCGACCCTGGAACTTTGTTGTGTGCACTGAAAAATTGGGACAGGTTTTCATATTTTCTATTTTAATAAAATTAGTTTATGTGTCCAATATGCAGCCTAAGTATTTACCTATGATGATACAGCACAAACTAATACTTGAGTGAACACAAGAGCTACTATGTAATTCTATACCCTTGTATAGGAATACATGCTACTAACGTAAGTGACCAATTGTATTTAAAAAAAGTTATCTCCAGCAAATAGGGAGGTAGGAGAATGTGCATGATTTTGGAACACTGCCAATCTTGTAGGCACAAGCATTATAGATAACAGAATAATATTTTAGGACTGTTCTAGGTTAGTTTGAGAAAAATAAATGGAGCATCTTTGTTTTGCTCCCATGCGCATGATATAAAAAACATTTAACTTCTGAGACGGACTCCTGACTGCCTTTTAAGGGGAAATGAGGAAAAAATTCTCCAACAGCTCCACATTTGGAAACAGAACAATTGATCGAAAATTAATACCTCACAAAAATCAAGTATTATGTCCTGGCTGAAAGGAATAGACACCAAGAGTAATGATGCCAGCTCTGATAGTTCACGCACACCTGTTGAGAACGAGGAGGATTATATATCGGCCACTGACACTAGCTCTGCTGCTGAACCTGCTAGTGTTAGCAAGTGTCAGAAAACGGCTGCAAGGTGGTCCAATCTAAATGATCTAAGTCTGGGATTTCCGTACACCAGGACAGAGGAACAGCCAAGACCACAGTGTGTCGTGTGCTGTGAGATTCTCGGCAATGAGAGCATGAAGCCAGCACATCTGAGGCGGCACTTTATCAGGAAACATGCTCTCCTGAAGGATGAGCCTGTTGATTTTTTTCAAAGGAAACTTAAAGATCTGAAGCAGCGCAAGTCCACCATAAGGAGCTCCAGTTTCCAAAGTACAAGCAGCATTTTACCATGCAAGCTTGCGGATTGCTAGAGTAGGTAAGCCCCACATTACTAGTAAAGAACTTAGTTTACCGTTGGCAAAAGAGCTGAAACTTATTACTTGTGGAGAAAAAGCTGCTAAACAGCTTGACCTGGTGGCCCTTTCGAAATACACAGTCACTCGTAGAATTATTGATATGGCAGATGATGTCAAAAGTACGCTGTCAGAGTGCATTAAGATGAGCAGATGTTTTTCACTTCAATTAGATGAGTCTGTAGATGTGATTGATTTGGCTAATTTGCTTGTTTACGTTAGATACGAGTTTGAGGGCATGTCCCATGAGGACCTTCTGTTCTGCAAGCTGCTACCAACAAGAACTACAGGAGAGCACATATTTCAGCTTTTGAATGAATTTATCTAAGAGAATGGCATCGACTGGAAAAAATGCATCAGAGTTTGTACAGATGGTGCTAGAGCGATGAAAGGCCGACACAGCGGTGTAGTTGCATAAATTAGAGAGGTTGTGTTAGGGTAGCCAAGTAGATCGTGAAGGATCCTGTGCAGAGTAGTGAAACTATCTTCTAAAGCCATAAATCAGAACCCAGTCCAAAAGTTCAAAACGGAAGGATTAAAAATAGGAAAAAGTACCAAAGCACAAAACAAAGTCGTAAACCAGGGAGCTGGAAAGTCGAAGAGTCTGAATACCAATAAAAGCGTAAACCAAAACAAGCCGAAAAGCTAAATCCAAGAATCTAGGTCCTGGGTGAAGAGCAATCCGAAAGCCAGGAGAAATTATACAAAACAAGATGAGGGAAAAGCGCCTAGTACTTGGAGAGAACTTCCAAAAATACTGAGCAATGGGAGAATGACTAGAGCTTCCTAAAATAATGAAAGACAGAGAATGTGAGGATTGAATGAGACAGTTGAGTGGTCAGGTATTTTTGAAAGGTCTATGCCTTCTTAAAGGGGCGTAGAATCTGGAAACTTACAGGTTGCTCCAGATATGAAGTGGACACACTGCAGCATCTACCGCGAGGCCTTGGTAGCCAGGAAAATGCCTGAGGAATTAAAATCTGTCCTAGAATCTGCTGTCAAAGTTGTGAATTCTATCAGGGCTCGACCTATGAATTTACGTCTGTTCAGTGTGCTTTGTAGTGAAACGGGCAGCTTTTGCTACATACTGAAATGAGTTGGTTATCCAGGGACAAAGTGCTCACGAGGCTCTTTGAACTCCACTCTGAGGTACAGATGTTTTTGCATGCATCTCTCTTGGAAATTCTACTTGATGATCCAGTGTGGCTGGTAAAATTAGCCTACCTGGCTGATATACTGTATTCTTATGTTTGAATGAGCTGAATATGGGACTGCAGGGGCTCTCTTCAACAATTTTTGACGCGTCTGACAAGATCACTGCTATGAAGAAAAAGCTGCGGCTTTTTGCTTATAAAATCAACACAAGTGATGTCTCTGTTTTCCCAATTTTGGAGAGCTATCTGCACACATAAGGTGAAGCACTTGATGCTGCTGTTTGTGATGTGATTGCAGTGCACCTCTAGTCTTTAGAAAAACAGTTCTCAGAGTATTTTCCAGTTGAGGCCACACCAGAGTGGATCAGGAACTCCTTTACTGTTGATGTCATAGAAATACCCAAGGATCTGACCTGTGCTGACCAAGAGAAGTTCTTCGAGTTATCATATGCAGCTTTGATGTCAGAATTAAAACGACAGTCACTATTGGATTTCTGGATCCAAAGACAGAGTGAATACCCAGCCCTTTCATTAAAGGTTGTGTGGTTTTTGATGTCTTTTGCTACTACCTACCTTTGTGAGAAAGGCTTCTCTGCTCTCACTGCAATCAAGACAAAGTACTGCAACAAAATGGATGCCGAGCCAGATCTGAGTTTGAAACTCACTGCCCTCGTGCCTGACATTGCAAGGTTTTGCTCGACTAAACAGGCTCACCCCTCTCACTGAAATGGTAAGCGTTCAGTGTTATTGTATTATATGTGTGTGTGCTCGCACGCTCATGTTGGTCATTGAGATTTTTTCTGGTTCCTATGGGAAGATGACTTGTAGGTGGTACTTGGATACTTTGGTTTGATCATTGGTGGTACTTGGTCCAAAACATTTGAGAACCACTGCTCTATCTCATTCATTAACATCTAATCTAACCACTGAAATGTGCATTACATTTAACACATGAGGGGTGTTAAGTCTTATTTTTTAAAGTTTTTTTTGTAAAGATTTATTTTTTGCCATGATCTATAATACTGAAATCATTGTCTTTAATTTCCTTTGACAAATTTAAGAACTCATGATATGTCCTTAAGGACAAAGTAACTATGATGATTACCAAGGCACATTGACTCTTGATTAGAGATTTTGGTTGTTAACAGAGTGATCACAAGGCAACAAATATGATACAAAGAGACAGATTTTTACCATGAAATACTGCAAAATTCAGCATATGTTTGGCGTGACATAACTTTAAATCAGCCATTGCTTTAGTGTTTAGTTCCACAACAAAAAAGGTATATTGTGCTGAAAGTTTCCAATTTACCTTCCATATTTCTTCCATGGCTTTTTACATTTTAAGTAATCCTAAATAAAACATTGACATTTTTTCAGCTTCTCACTGTGATTTTTTATACATACGATATGTGAATCTGTGTGATAACACAATGAATCTCTGAAAACCTTACGGAAAAATATATGTTTGAAGAATTAATCTTTGGTTAATTTAAGCATACAGAACACAAGTATTTTCTTATAGAATTTTCGAAAACCTAATAGGTTACAGGTTCAATAAACAAGGGAATTAATAAGGAACAGCAATTAGAATGGCTTCTTTCAGTCGTCAGCTCCTTGGACTGCTTCCATAATGACTGAGTGACTGAGACTGGTTCGTTCATCTCTCTCAGCTGTCAGCTCTTCAAGCTCTTTCTGCATTTCTCTCTTCCTGTCTGTGCTGTACTTGGTTCTAGAGTGCCTGCAGGTAGTAATACTATCTGGCAATTTGGTTTTTGATGTCCTTGACCTGATGGTGTCACATCATTGATGTTCTCTCTCCTTGGTAAGTGGGTGGCCTCCCAGAGACTAACGAAGGGCCTTGTAACCCATTTAATAGCTAAGCACTCTATTTAAATACTGATGTGTTAGTGCTACTAGAGCAAAAGCTTTCCACTGGGGTAGGCAATGGGGTGTTTCAATCCATCTACCTCGTAGAACACCACCACCCCCGGCACTATTCCTGAGGTATTTGTCTGTAAGACAAGTAATCAAGAGAAGTCAGGGCAGCACAAATCTGAAACCCTGCATAATTAGTCCTTAATGGTTTGAAAGGCAGTTCCTTCAACTGGACCTGGGCACTTTTTTTAAAGGACACAGCTATTGCTGAGAAGTGTGGTGAGAACTTCTTAATTCAGCAGGAATCATCACCCCTGCTGACAGACAGAGATAAATATCAAATAACATCTTATAATAATAATAATAATAATAATAATAATAATTGCTTACACTTATATAGCACTTTTCTGGACACTCCACTCAAAGGGCTTTACAGGTAATGGGACTCCCCTCCACCACCACCAATGTGCAGCATCCCAATCTCAGACCCAATTAAGATAAATGAAAGCAATGCTTACACCAAGGTTTGCAGGCAGTGTTCCCTCTGATTTTGAATGGCCTGTGTGTGCAAAAATTCCAGCTAGTCTCATGAGGTCAATTTTGCATTTTTCAATTGACGACCGTGTTTGTTTTATTATCATCATTTTTATTTAATTGTTTGTGCACAGTTCAATTTCCTTTAAAGAAGTAAAGAATTCAGGCTTTAAAGAATGCAACATTTTGCATTCAGATTTAATCAAAATGTGATACAGTGTTGAGATATGTGATACTTAACGTATGACATGCAAATGACTGCAATGGCAGACAAAATAAAGATTTACTGTTAATACATTTTTATACATTTAGGGAAACTGCCAAAAAAGAACTTTAAAATATTCTCAAGGCTTTTTCTGTAATATGGCCACTCCATACTGTTACAATAAAAACTGCTAAAACACTTGCTGTAAATACTACCCTCTTTCAATTGCTTTAACACTAGTGGCTTATCCGGAGCAGGTGGTTTGCACAATTTTTAGTGGCAACTCAGTTGTCTGATTTTGGTTAGTAGCGGAAACAAAATATACACTGCATGTGTTTTTCGGGCTTTAGCGTTATAATATCAAAAAATGAAATGTGTGAATGATTGAAATTATAGCTCAAAACCACTGACTTCCTCTGTTCTCAGAAATTGACCTGTCTAGTAAAATGGAAAAAGCCAAATAGAATGCAGACCAATTTTAGTTAGGTGCACTTGGCAATAGAAATACAAAACTCTACAAGTATTTCTACAAGACAAAATAAGAATTAAAGGTACTCTCTCAAGCTCTGGTCCTGGAGAGCCCCAGTCTTGCATGTTACTTGGTCACTTCCAAATAATCAATTTCTAAAATTTTGTAACAATTTTATCAGAGCTTTTAAGCAGTTTATATGTTAAATTAAGAAATTTAGAGATCATTTGGAATTGATCAATATGACCAAATATCCAGTACAGTTGTGAAACAGCACAATTATCTTAATTGAACAGATTACTTGTTTAATTCATCTATACGTTTCTATTTCTATAATAGATCTATAAGTCTAACTGAGCCAGGACCAGGGTTTTAGCCCCCAAATACAATTTACAGTATTTATCTGTTTTTATATGGTATGTTTGCACGCCTTGTGAACTTTAAGGTCTTCCAATTTTACACTTATAATATTCTATATACAGTATGTATTTACCTATGTTACTGGCTGGTGAGCGATGAACAGGGGGCACCAGATCACTTTGTTCATTTAAAAAACAATTTAATAAAATAATTGTTTCAGTTTTGATGTCTTCGGCTAACAGCTTCTTTTAGCAACGCCGACCTTCGCTTGCTCGGCCTTGGTCTGCATTTCTCTGTTTTCCTTGTCCGTTCTCTTCAACGGCTCCGGTACTCAGCTTGTTCGTCGGTCAGTCTCTTTGGGGCTCTCATCTAGAGCCCTGGTGTGCAGCGTTTCTTCTCCTCACCTGGCTACCGCACAGGCCCACTGGAAAAGGAGCCCACAGGAGTTTAAAGAGAAAAAAAGCACACTGGTGAGTATCCGCGGTCTCCACTCAAATGGTAAATACGCTGACTGCCTGTCACAATATATGGAAATAGAGAGAAAATACCTGAATCTCTTTGCCTTTGTAATAACACACAATTGTCAGAAGAAACAAAAAAGGGAGACCTCAGAAGAAACAAAAAAGGGACACCTCAGAAGGGTTGAAAAATTCCAGCCAGATGTAGGAGCTATAACAAAAGAAATGGAGCAAATTTCCAAGACTGATTGATAGAATATTTCAAAATCAATATTTATATTTAAATTGATATGTCCCCACAACCTCTCCACTTTTACCCCTGGTTCATCCTTTCCTGTCATTTCCCTCCCTGCTCTTTCTCTTTCCTCACCTCTGCGTCCAGAGCCTCAGTCTCTCTGCTTTGATAGTCCCAGTGCCAGCTGAAGTAGGCAAAGCCTTCCTCATCACCAGACACTAGCTGCCCACTGCATGCGCAAGTCCTCATACAGATTTATACCAACATTATACAAAATGTAGACATTAAGAAACAGCCAAAAATAATTATTGTTTTAAATGCTTGGTTGTTTTTATAATTAGTATCCATAATAAACTATGCTTTACTAAAGAATGTCTGACTGAAAGTGCAAGTATTTTGCAGATCAGCAAATCGGCATATCATACAACATGTAACATGCAGTTAGTTACTGTCAAATTATTATATTATGGTCAACATTCAACCTGAGCTTTTTTGCCCATTTTTGAAGGTACAAAAAACAGAAGAAATAACTTACTTTCTTTTGCATTCACTATTAGAGTCGATCAAAGTCCTTGTACCATCATTAGCACAGGGTTCTCAATAATTAGTTTACATGAGTATGATCCCGTATCGTTCTCAGATACACTTGGAGTTGTCATCTCAGAACAGTTCCTGGAAACACAATAAGTGTATCTATTCTATTCATATCTCTGAGCCCCCTTCACTTTCTTATAGTTCAAGGATGGCAGTTCAGACTGATTGTTCATCCACCATTCCAGTCTTATTTGCTCAAGATCCTGCAGCTGTGTCTCCCAGCAGCAAACCATCTGAACTGATTCTCCCACTCTTGCTGTGATTCTCTCAGGAAAGTGAGTGATGTTCACTTCACTGGCATCTGACAGGCAAACAAAATGTCTCTGTATGAGACAATAAACTGTTAATTTTGCTCACAAGTAAAACCTTATTAGCCGCATGTTGTTTCACAAAATTGTATGTTTATTCATTTATTCAGCACCTTTGACACCCGTTCCTCCCAAATGATTCCTTGCTAAAGTAGATGGTGCACAAATACTCATTGATAGATATCCATCCATCTTCTAACCATTCATCCAATTCAAGGTCGCGGGGGAGCCAGAGCCTATCCCAGCAAGCAAAGCTCATACGGCAGGGTACACCCTGGATGAGACACTGCTAAAGGCATGACTTATAAGTAAATACAATCAAAAATTAAAAAAGAAAATGAATCCCTACATCCATCTTGCTGTTGTACTGTGTGGTGAGTGGGTAATTATTTTTACTGACATCTGTAAGGGTAGAAAGTAGTTAAACCAATATTTCTTTTTTCAACTGGAATTCAGTATTACATTATTATGATGCTTTTCTATTAATGGATTGTTCAGTAATTATATTATTCAGACATGACATTTCATTCTGTATCAGCACTGAGTAAATGTTAACTCCAAACTAAAAAGAAAATTAGAACAATGCAAATGTAGATGTTTAGATGTGTGTTTGGAGAATGTAAATAATATATATATATCAAATCACACAACCTTTTTCTCTGTTTTTTTCTTTTTCTTTTTGTTCTCTTTTTCTAGTTTGTGTTCCCGTGCTGTTCTGCTTTGTTCTTTGCCATTAGATTTCAAAGTGTGCTTATTTCTAACGCCGTACAAAGAAGTTAACAGACTCTGCAATTACATTTTTCATTATAAAAAAGAAATATATATATAGAATGCCAATTTTCATGCTAAGTGCTGTTATTTTGTGTTCATAGAAATTAAAACATTTCTAAAGTTGTCAGAAAATGTAGTGGATGAAGTTAGTCCCAAGATTAAAAACATTATATCAGAAATATAAAGAATTATTGTTATATTGCTTATCTTGGACTCTTGCATTAAAGACCCTATAGTGAACTTGTCATAAGACACTGATGCACTAGCATGTAAATGACAATTATTGTGTTAAAGGCAATTCCCCACTCAATTCCACAGATATATCTTTAAATAGAAAAAGGAAACGTTCAGAGATTTCTTAAATCAGTTGACAGGGCTTGAGTCTGGAAGAGCCCAAAATCCTTACTAGCTAAATTCTATTTCTCCATACAGGGTCGTATTTATACATATATGATAACTATATCATCAATGTTACAGATTGAGAATCACAAAACCCACCCCAAGAAGACAAAGAAGGCAAGAGTAGGAAACATATCTAAGCTCGCAACCACAAACTAAACTTCACAAGACTGAACAAAGCAGGTTTATTAATGTTCCTCTCCCATGTAGAAAACCCCACATCCTCATCTGTTTCTACAGATGCATCACTTTCTGTTTGTACTGGATAATGGCAGTACTGTATAATAATTGAAGTCTAGATGGATTTATAGCAAATAAATGTCTATGTATTTAAAACACATGTGACTCAGCAAGGTAAGATTTAACCATTTTCAGGACAGTATCAGGTTTGCCAAAACACTCTATTGCACAGGGTTGACGTAAGGAAGAACAACAAAGTGATAATGTGAGAAAAATGGATGGATTTGCACTTGTCATGTGGCAAGTACTTTAGCTAGGTACTGCTTTCAAGACTTAAGATATACATTTCAGAAATGAAAGCATCAGATACCACCTTCATAGGAAGAAACTGTTCAGTGTACTAAGGAATACAGCAAGTATAGGAGACAGACCAAGATTTAACAGGGCCCAAGTGTTACTACCACGCACCACACCTGACCACATTAATTGCACTTGTTACCTCATTATCCAATCATGTCCCTTGTTTCACTATTTAAGCTCCTTGTCCCCATACTTCCTCACTTGGTATTTTGATTCATAGGCTAGTCAGTTCGCTGCTTGCTTTCTCTCACCTGACTGATCTCACAGATTTTGACATCTCCTTTTGACCCTTGGGTTTTGCTCTTTTGTATTACACCTCACGGACTTGTTTGCCATCTTGGACCCTCGCTTTGCATAGGGTTCAGCTCGTTTATTGACGTTTATTGGCGTAACGCCAAGGTATCAAGTGTGTGTATTGTCTATTGAAAAACTGCACAGCACATTTTTCTTTCAAAGTATCAGAGGAAGAAAACTAAGAAAGGGAAGAGAGAGAAGAATCTGCGAACCAAATGTGGTCGACTGTGACATCTTCAACATAAAAAAAAAAAACAGTCAAGTGATCAGACAGTCCCAAATCAAGATTAGCTGATAAAAGAGCTGTCAGCAAAGACTACATCCAAAAGGAGACCTTTGTTTAGACCTGGATTGTGGTCCAACAAAAACTAAACAGTAAAATATTTAGGATCCTATTTAAGAGAAATGTATGTGCTCTTAATAATTAATAAGATTTCCCTTGGTCAATTGCCTGGCTTTATATGGTGAGACATATCTTGAATATCATTGGCATATGTTTTTCATTGATTCTCATCATTCTTAATACTGTATGTCTGAGTGGTGGCCCTGCACTTGCATCAGTTCAGTGGCAGATGAAATGGGGAAAACTGGGAAAATGTGCTTGAGGTCCCCAAATAGTTTTGTCTTTCTTTATGAGCTTCAGTGACTCTCCTTTATCTTTTCATTTCTTTTACACTCATATAAAAGCTGCGCATTCTAAAATAGTTATTGAACAAAATATTTTTGTGAAATTAAAGAAAGCTGAATCAGTTTTGAGTATGTTTTGTCTTTTGATTGTTATTGTGTGTACTTATGCACATTTAATGCAGACTTGTAAAAATATAAAGAACAGTATGTCCTGTTAGAATCAAAACATATGAATTCACGCTGTTCAGAGACTATATCATACAATATATCATAGAATACATCAGAACTGATTTTCCATCAACAGGCCCTAGCTTTTTTGGGACCCTTGTCCAGATCTTGGAAAAGGCCCCCCCAGATCACAATTTGAGCAGCTTATTTTACTATTTAGAACAAGTAAATGAATTATACAACTAGAAAACTTTTATTAACCAGTTTAGAAGTAAACATAAATTACTTAAAAACAGGAAGAAGCCCACATTTTACAAAGATAACATATATTTTAACATTGAAAGTAATAGTGTGAAACATTAATTTGTTAACTCTAGTAAAACACCTTACGTAGTCTACATGTGTAGCTACAAAATGTGGCTTGTCTAACTGTTCACCAGTTACATGGATCTGACAGACTCCAAACCAGATGATATACAAATGCATTATTACAGTGACTTGGTTTGGCATACCTCTGTCTTGAGATCACTTTTCCTGCCCTTCTTTTCTGCTCTTCCTTTTCTCAGTGCCCAATAGGTACGTCCTTTTGGATGACGATGTGCATTTATGGATTGCAACTGCATGATTTTAATTTTAGACTATTACAACATAGTTTGCAACACAAGTAAAAACTCACTTGTGTCACGATTGTAGTCCCTCCCCCTTAAGGGCGCTCTGGCTCTTTCACTTCAGACTTGATTTTGTGCACCTGCCCCCTGTTATGGTTTTATTTTCTGTTCCTGTTTTTATCTTGTCTAGTCTCAGATGTACCACCCGGCTTTGGACTTTGCCCGTGTTGGATTCCCCATTTGGACTACTTCTGGATTGTTTGCAGACTCACCTCCCTGGACACCTGCGCACTTTGGACACGCCCCCCCCATTTTTATTCCCGACTCCTGCATGCCTTTTTCCCCTGTGTTTTCCTCACTCCACCCCGGATCGTGTCGTCAGCATAGGGCCCTGAAAGAACTCGTTCGTTACACTTGTAGTGTTTCATTACACATTAGATGGATAAACAAACTACCACACTTACATTCACAAGTAATTATATTATAATCTCTAACAAAGTTTAACATCTTAGATCAGCACAGAAAGAGCCACTGGAGGGAATTTTTGTTTCACATTTGCGAACGTGCTGATTAAGATAAATATATGGTGTTGTACATTGAGGAGGCCCCCTGTAGGCCTCGGGGCCCTACAGGGGGCTTACTCGTGAAGTCTGAAGTGTAGAGATGTGCGAAATTAAATTTAGCTTTAGGATATTTTTTTTCTGAACTTTTGTAGATAATTGCCAGGGAGGAAGCTTACATGCCCTCATATGCTCTGAGGTGAGGGGAGGTGTGATGGAGGTGTTCTGAACCCCCAGCCATTGATAAACATCCTGGGAGACTCCAAGTTCTGTCCCCGGATGCCACAGAACTCCAGGGGGGACTAAAAATAGGGCTTACTGTACATTCCTTGTAGCAGAATGGACAGTACACCACTATGGAGCACTCTGACCCAGGGCAACTTGGTAAAACACTCCATGGTCAACAGGTTGAATCAATCTCCAGCCCAATCCCATTGACCCGGTCCCAGGAGCCCCCACCTGGTACTGTTGCAGGTGAATCTGCACGAGATCTGTCTGCACCAACACTGTTCTGGACCAGCAGAAGTGCTGGGCATCCTGTAGTTTCCTTAGGCATAGGCAGGCACCGGTGCCAGAAGGACTTGGCAAGGTATCATTTATATCTAAATATCTTATTCCACAGTATCATTCTCTCATGTTCGTTTTGCATGTAAACCATGCGGGCATTTTGGTGTGCAAATAGGACTAGTACTGTAGGCCTGGCTGATTTTCTTATAAATTGCATCCTTTCCCCTTTATTTGCATGACTTCCGGTTCCCTGACTGAAAACCATTTATGTCACATAAAAACCAACAAAGAACATTTTCATTTTCTTTCCTGCTTCAAGCAAAGCTTTCTTGAACACATTTGCAGACTCTCCCTTACATAATATTATGCTACTAATCTTTCGTTTCCCTTCTACTCATCTGATTCCATCAGTGCGACTTTTCATGCTTAAATGTGTCAAAATCCAAGCACACCCTTTTCTGATTTGCACTGGTGACACTCAAAATGTTTTCAGATATTAATATTATATGGAATATCAACTAACCTGATTACTTTAATGCTAGTTTAGGAGCCATCATTCTTGACATATGATCCTAGTCAGTGATCCTAGTCAATATCTAGAACACCTGGACAGCAAATTCATTTCCTGCTCTGTGGGCTTTGTAGGGTTTTTTAAGTATACATCATATGCCCACAGATGTAGTGATTTGTTTAGAGTTTTAGTACCAGCTAATTTACCACAGAGACAGAGGAAAACGGAAGAAAAACCTGCGCTGCATGAGCAGGTTGCATTTGCAAAGGAAAATAATTCGCATTTGTGAACTGTGAGCAAAATCAGTTGTGTGTGGAGTTTGGGGGCCTAAAGTTTTAAAGAAAGAGAAGGAAAGGACACAGAGTGTATTTTTTCTTATCTACTTTTGCAATGAATTTGGTTGTGTATGGTGGATTTGCTGGAAATGCGCTGTTGTCGTTCTTTGCAGTCACTGGGAACGTGTTCATCATCTGTAGCAATATGTGTCGTGCCTGGACAATAACTAAAGAAGCAAAAGAGAGGAAAAATTTGTTTCTAGCTGGGGAAATAATAATCACCTGCATCACACTGGCTAACCTGCTTCTCAGTTTGTCTGGTTTCACCTGGATAGCAATCAAGACCTTTGAGATGCACTGCCAGGTGGGACTAACTGGATACAGAGGGCTAACTTATGCCCTAATCCTGGGAGGGTCATCCAGCTTTTGGTTTACCTCTTGTCTGTGCACATTTTATCTCCTGAAGATTGTCAGCATTCCCAATGCCGCGTTCAACAAGCTTAAGCAAAATGTGTCCACTTTCGTTTTGGTTTTCCTCGGAGGGAGCTTTGCTCTGTGCTGTATCTTCAGCTTCCCTGCAGTTTACGCCCAAAACATCCACTACATCAACGCCTCCACGGGCCCTGACAATTTCACGGTTCAGTCTTGTAAGATATCCGCTGAGCTGTCGGGAGTGTCCTTTGAGTTTGCGATGTTCAACGGGTTTGTGCTGCTGGTCGCCCCCGCCGGCATCATGCTGTTGGCTTGTGTCGGGCTTGTGCTGTACCTGTGCCATCACATGCACCACATGAAGAGAAGCAGACGCTCTCCCGAGGCTCCAGAGAGCTCGCCCTCTCACTCTCCAGCTTTGCTGGCCCAAACCAGAATCTCCAAAATGATCGTCTGCCTGGTCGTTGTCTACCTCATCTGTGACCTAATCCTGTTCTTTTTGCTTTGTGGTGGATACACTTCGGCAAACTTGCAAGTGGTCAGTTTCTTTGGAGCTCTCGCAATGTCCGCCTTTGCTGTAGGTATCGCCTCTCTTCTCACGTATGGCAATGCCAATCTAAAGAAGGACCTGACCTTCTTGTTTCCTTGTTGCCTGAACAGTTTGACAAAATGAGTTATTGATATACAATTTCACAGCAAATAATGTACATGTGTTGAGTGAGATGACAAAAACGTACTTCACTTATTACAGGTCTACACTCCTTTTAAACCACATGTGTTTTCTGTACTCGTAGAAATAAGTAAACTGTTTTGACTTTGCATTTTTATATCATATTGCTCTATATTTACAGTCTATTCATTCATGTTTGCTATCTGTTTTAATTTTCAAAGGGAATGTTAATGTGTGTCCACATTTTTCCACACAAAGAATCCATACTGTGAATAAAAAGCTAACTTTTACAATGTACGTCACTTGACATTCTAAAGTCTAAAGTTCTAAATCACCAGACAATTCCTTTAGTAGACAAAAAATGAGAAAACTTTTTTTTTACAAAAGGTGTGAGGGAATGAATTCCTTCACCATCAGCCTTTGATGCAGACAGTTTCTGGTTTTTGTGTTGGACTACAGATTGTAGTTTTCTCTTCCTGGTTGTTTTAGATGATTATAAGGTAACTTCTTTCAGTTTATTTCTTTCAGCTCATAATTCTTGACCAGTTAGAAATAGACTCAGAAAGTAGTCTGATCTGATGATGTAACATGGAGATGTGGCCATTCTGGGTGGAATGCTTGGGGATTGGAATTTAGGGGTTTTCTACTTTTCTACTTGTTGGTTAGATGCTATTTATCGTATTCTGTTTTTATATATACAATATGGAATATAATTATATACATATTATGTTAAAAAAAAACAATCTAGTAGAGTGGTCAAGCAAGTTTCTACAATTAGTTGCCCTCTTGATAATATCACATTCTAAGTCCAAAATATTTTTTAAAATGTTACTTTAATCATTTTACTTATAACAATCCAGAATATATTTTTTTCAACTTTCCTGATGCATTAACTGTTTCTGTCTTTATGAATTTAAATGAAAATTAAAGTTGGAAACATTGAGATCTGTTCTCTCCTTTTTAACTGACTTAAATGGTCTTTGGCTGTAGATGTTTATATTAGTTCAATACATAAGCCTTACAGGGTGGGTCTGTGGCTGTATCTTTACAGGTTCTATATTTACTCTGTTCCCAGCAGTGCTGGAGCTCTGGGTTCAATTCATGGGGTGCTATCTGTGTGGAGTTCATATGTTCTCCCTTGATCATGTCGGTTTCCTCCGGGGCTCTGGTTTCTTCCATCAGTCCAAAGACTTACTGGTAGGTTAATTCAGTTCAGGTAAAATATGACTTGGTGTGTGTGTGTGTGTGCCCTGTGATGGATTTCCACCCTGTCCAGGATGAATTGTTGTCATTAAAAATTAATAATTGTACACTGTATACACATACAGTTACAGACAAAATAGTAGTCCTTTTAATTTGAAACATCATTGTTTGTTAATTCACTTAATTTAATGCTTTTTATAAAGATGTATTTTTCAATAATATTTAAATACATTTAAGTGTATTGGGCACATATTTTTCCAAGTCGTGACATGTTAACAAAATACAGACAAATGAAGAATAGATGCTTGTCTGTTCAAAATAGAGACATTTATAGGCTTTTACAGTACAGTATTATGATTGGACATAACTCATATTAAACGTGAGACATTATTGAGAGACAGGCTCCCTGTATGTTCCTGAGGCTGTGACAGAAGATAACATACTGGGTTTCCAGCTCTACTGAGTTTCCTTTCCCTGTAGGATTGGAAGCAGTTCGGATTCTGGTAGGTATTAGAATTCTGTGATTATATTTGTGATTGTAGGGAAGATTTGCCTAATTCCGGAGTATTTCTCACAATGCAGCACAAGGGGTGACTCTGTCTCTGCTTCTCACCACTGGCAGTGGGAGAGCAGCCAGGTCTGCCCGTGATGTGCAGTTTCTATGGCCAGGCTGTGTTCAGTGAGCCTGTACTTTGTCAGGGGCTGTTTCTCTTTGCTATCTCTTACTGTGGTCAGGTAAAGTATATAACTGATAAAAGATAAGTGTGAGATAGTCTGGTGTTTCTGTATCAGGGAAAGACGTTTCAGCATGTCAGGGAGAGACGATCTCTGTAGCACTTCAGCTTTATTGGGGAGTGAGATAAGAATATAACAATTAAAAGGTAAGAGACAAAACATACAAGGGTTTTAAAAGCATTTTTGAAACTAATCCTTAGTGAGTAAGGATTACAATTTTATTATTTCGAAATGTACTTCACCTAGACAAACATTAAATAATTTTTACACCAGCAATTGTTTGAACACAATCACTAAACATGACCTACTACAGTTTGTAAAAAGCAACACTTTTTATCTTGTTTTTTTTTAAGATAATGTAAAAAAAGAGAACAGGAAAGAGTATTATTTGTGCTCAGAGCTCTGAGCTCTCCTGTGGGGAAGCAGGCTCCAATGACGCAGGTACATTTTCATCACCACTTGACTCTTCATTAGCATTTGCATTAGCTAAAAAACAATGAAAATACAAAACATCTCTTTAGTTTTAGCAATAGTTTCCTATGAACAATTTATAGAGTGATTTCTGATTTATCATTAAGAAGGTGGTATATAACATTGGCATATTTTCTTTACCATCCTAAAAATATAAAAAGGAGACAAACTGTAGTTAATAAACTGCAGTTACAGGCAAATACATCAGATGAAAGCATTTGGAAAAATAAAAGAATTTTTTAAAATTATTTTAGTCTTTATGCAGCCTTTTCTTTTATTTCTAACTCCCCAAGTCTGGACATTCCGTCGGTCTCTGGATCTAGTGAAAGTGTACATATTTTTTACAACTGAACTTTGTTAAGAATTTCACATTATTATTTCTTATGCACATTACTTACTTTTGCTGTCAGGGCTTTGCTTTTCTTATTTTTAAAGTTTGTTGCCACAGGCAACAAACTTGTTATTGTCCTTTGTGCTGTTCATGTCTTATAAGGGAAGAACATTATTGTTTTTATGGAGAATCTTAATTTTCATCTTACTGTTATGGACCAGCATTTCTCTATCATTGTGTTGTGGTGCCCGGCTCTGCTTTTTATGTTAACTAGTTCTGAGAATCTGGATCCTCTCTAGTGAGATTTTTTTTATATTTTAATTTGGTCATTATATTTTAATTCAGTTATTGTGTCCTGATATATCTTTAGTCAGTACCTGGCCCTTTCTTCTCCCCTCTGCACAGATAGAAAACAGCTGTCAGCAGTGTGAGAAAGGGAAGACACCGCAAGATGTATGAGACTGTCCACTTCACAGTGCTGTCTGTGTCTAAAACAAAACAAGAGAAAAAAAATCTGTAGCTTAACATGCGCGGTTAGTAAGAACTTTCCGTCTGAGTGTTTTTAAAATAAAAAATGTTACTTCATAAAGTTTGTGTGTCTTAGTTTGTTGTAAATGTTGTACCCAAAGGAGCAGTTCTAAAAAGTTGCTGCAAGTGGTTATGGCAACATTCAAGCTTTATATTAAAAGAGTTTACAACAAGTAAACTAAGGAGAAGCTAGAATGATACCCACCGCTTTTGTGGTTTATTGGCCAAAGTGTTTGTGAAGCAGTTAGCAATTTGGAGCAGTTGATGACCCACTTTAGACATGAATCATCAGCTGCAGCATTGGATGCTCAAGTCTGAAACATGGTTTAGTGTGATAAACCTGACATGTTTCTAGTCAATCCTTTTAACAGTAGTATTTGAGAACAAATTGGTCAGTCAGGTAGGCTGATTTAAACAGGACCCCTGTTTTGAGATAAGTGAATCATATTGCCACTTGAACGTTATCTAGCAGCTTTAATTAGGCCAAACAATGTTTGTTTACACAGTAGTAGTTTGTGGTGTGAGATGTGTATTGACAAGAGCCAAAATATGGTGGTCAAGTGCCGATTCTGGATTATGAGGGAAAAAGAACACTATTTCATCATATTGGAACAGCATTGTAACTAAAATGATACCAACCAACTCTGGAGTTGATTAACTAAACTTTAAACAGGAGCTGTTTTCATTAGAAACTGTATTTTGCCAAGCAACTGATGATCGTCTGCAGATATGAATATCATCACAGCAAGCTGTGAGGTGTAAATCAGAAGCAGTTTTAGTTGGTCAGGAAACTTTAAACTTTAAAAGAAAATGTTAACCTCAAATAAAGTAACAGTTCCAAAGAAACAGGCACTTTCAGAGCAAAATGTTGGCTGTACAGGCACCTAGCAACCTAGCATGACACTTAGCATGTAGGATTGACAGGAGTTAATAAGCCAAAGAGTTTTCAAATAGCAGGATTAATGTTATGGGCCATGTATTGACAAAGAAGAAAAAGAGAAAGACATGGCAGTCAGACTGTTGTCTGTAATGACTGTAATGGTTTACACAGGAACTTCACTTCACATATATTCATTGTGTTGGTACTAGAATTATGATTATGCATTTCCTCAGCTGAGAGCCAACCCCCTAGGCTTTAGGACAAGGACGTCAGAGGAGACATGAGAAGGAGAAGGTAACCAACCTTAGCCAGCAGCCATATCACTCTGCAACTCACAACTGGCAACCCATTGAAGCTAAGTAGGTGTGAGCCTGGTCAGTACCTGGATGGGAGACCTCCTGGGAAAAACTAAGGTTGCTGCTGGAAGTGGTGTTAGTGGGGCCAGCATGGGGTGCTCACCCTGCAGCCTATGTGGGTCCTAATGCCCCAGTATTGCGACGGGGACACTATACTGTAAACAGGCGCCGTCCTTCGGATGAGACATAAAACTTTCTGTGACTTTCTATGGTCATTAAAAATCCCAGGGCATAACCCTGGCTTCCTGTCCAAATTTCCCATTGGCCCTTACCAATCATGGCCTCCTAATAATCCCCATCTATGAATTGGCTTCATTACTATCCTCCCCACTGATAGCTGATGTGTGGTGAGCGTTCTGGCTTACTATGGCTGCCATCGCATCATCCAGGTGGATGCTGCACATTGGTGGTGGTGGAGGGGAGCCCCCATTACCTGTAAAGGAATTAATTTGAGCCCAGTATGTATTGGTTGCTCGTCTCTGGACTGATTACATACCAA